AAGGGGCTTGGTTTTGTGGTCTCAAGTTGTTGATTTTTCGGATAGGGTTTAAGAATTTCATATTAAGGAATATAAGCAGTTCATACTGATGTGCTAAAGATTTCGAATTTGGGTATTTTGGAATGCTGGCCTGTTTCATTGTAAAGATAGTGCTGGACAATACAAGAAATTTTGAATTTTATTTATTTTTATACATTTTTATCAATTTATTAGAAATAAGAAGTACTGGCACTTCAATCACATTGTAGAAACTTGAAAGAAAGTGGGAAATTTTTTGTTTTGGTCATTCTAAAGATTTGATTTATACCAAAACATGTTCTATGATAAGTACATAGCTTGAATTGAAGAAAGAATGAAATAGAAGGGATATTTGGTGTCTCCAATATGGAGAAAACACACCAGCTTTTTCAATTGTGTCCCAAGTTGACCTGATGAGGGAGGAATGCACTTACTTGAAGTAGAAAGTACTAACAGCTACCTAGAATCACTGAAACTAACAACAATAATGTAATGAGGCAATTGGTTTGACCTCTGGTTTGGATTCATGAGCTGCATCGCTGACAGTATGGCACTTTAATAACTGAAGTAAAACACTGCCCCTTGGCATATGCTGTAGTTGTTTCTATCATTCAATGTCTAAACGGGCTCAAGTATATGGTCTTAAATTTTCTTGCAGGTGCAAATAATCCAGCAAATAAATCATGATGGAGAGGTTAATCGGGCTCGTTATATGCCTCAGAATCCATTTATTATTGCCACAAAGACCGTCAATGCTGAAGTTTTTGTGTTCGATTATAGCAAACACCCATCTAAGCCTCCTTTAGATGGTGCATGCAGTCCTGACTTGAGGCTGAGGGGCCACAGCACTGAAGGATATGGTTTATCATGGAGTAAGTTCAAGCAGGGTCATTTACTCAGTGGTTCTGATGATGCTCAGATATGCCTTTGGGATATTAACGCGACTCCCAAGAACAAAACCCTCGAGGCTATGCAAATATTTAAGGTTTGCCTCTACATCTATGTTGCACATATTGTTCTTCATTTAGAGAAAAATGAATCCTATCAGAGCATGTGTAACATTTAATATTGATTATTGTGTACAGCTGTTCCTTTTAGCTTTAGGTAAAGAAAAGGCTAGAATTTCACATGAACCAAAGGAAGGCTATCATTAAATGGACGGCTCCAGTGTTCTGATTTGGATGCAATAAGATAGCTCTTTCTAGAAAAATACTTATATACATTTGCCACTTCTCTGCATCTTATATGTAAAAGTTTACCGTTGTTTGAAATGCTTGCTGGATCAGGTTCATGAAGGTGTGGTAGAAGACGTAGCATGGCATTTGAGGCATGAATACTTATTTGGTTCTGTTGGTGATGATCAATACCTTCTTATATGGGATCTCCGGACTCCATCCGTTACCAAGCCTGTCCAATCTGTAGTTGCTCATCAAAGTGAAGTGAGTGATGTTAATATTCTCTCATTGCTATAGATAATTGATGTTTCTGCATTCCAGCTTTATATGTCAATCTTGGTACTTTCATGTTTGTTCATGTCTTAGTTTTGTTCTAACGTTTGAACTTATACATTTTGAATACTGTCATATTGGTGCCTTTAGCTATTTTTTTCCATCAACTAGGCGAAGTGTTTTAACCAGTGGAGTTTAGTTGTCCAAGTGATTTTCCTAAATACATGTATGCTAGGAAATAATGAGTGATCATTGTAATTCAAAATTGTTGTCATTGTCATGGGTCTGATGTATGTAAGGTTAGTACTTAGCTGAAGCCTATTTCAAACAAAGAAATAATCTGGTAAAATATTAAAAAGCCTAATGAAAATCTGGAGATATTTTTGGATGCCTGGGAAGGACTGAGACAACAATAGTTATTCATGAAAGCTAGGATGTGAGCTTTTATCTATGAGTACTGAGAAACTAAAAGGGAACTTGTATTGGTGACATTTCGATAATACTAGATAACTTGGCCAATTTGTTGCAGTGGATTTAGGTTCTGGGCCACCTAATAGAAATAAGATCATGCAATGGATTTTTGAGATAGTTAACATATTCTTTTATGCTGTGGTTAGATGTGAATCACCTCTACGGGCCAATGCCTCCTCTGTGGTTCTCTTGCATCTAGACTTTAGGGCTCACAACCTTTGTGTAAATTAATGTATCCTTTACATTTTTGAACTTTCAAGAGTTTATAAGGTTTATAGTTTTCTTTATCTGACTGTAAGTAATGAATGGGTTGTTTCTTTACGTGATATTATATCCTTGACAGTTTTGGACAATTTTGAAGTAGTTTGTCCATGTGATGTTATGTTAGGTTAACTGTTTGGCTTTCAATCCCTTCAATGAATGGGTTGTTGCAACTGGATCCACTGACAAAACTGTTAAGCTGTTTGATCTACGCAAAATCAATACTGCTCTCCACACCTTTGATTGCCATAAGTAAGGATCCTTCCTTGGAACTGATAAATTTGGATGTCTAAAATTATCTTTGATATAATCAATCTATAGATCTGATCTCAAATTTTTATTGTGGTGTATTCAGGGAGGAGGTTTTCCAAGTCGGTTGGAATCCAAAAAATGAAACTATCTTAGCTTCTTGTTGTCTTGGCAGGCGACTCATGGTGTGGGATCTTAGCAGGTATTCCTTAAATAACCGATTATCAGCTTTTGTTTTTAATTTATAGGGGGAGGTGATCTTCACTCGAACTTGTGGTATTCTAACAGAAATCAATACATTAAGTGCTGTTTCATGCAAGCATTTAGGTTATGGCTCTAGAATTTAGTGGTTTAGTTTGGAAACCAGACAGTAAGTACTGGGATAGATGTGGGCCAACTAAATCAAACCTATTACAGAATGGTGTTACAAGATGAGATATGTCTGCATGAGGAAAATAAGAATCATTAACCCTAACTAGGGGAGCCTAAGGCATTATACTGAAGTATGGGCGTTAGGCATCAGAGCACATGGAGGGCATCTTCCTCTTAATATTTGAAGTGCCAAGTATATAGCCTGCATGTTCTTGTTAAGCAGGCACACACAGCCAAGCTCGTCCAAGCTTGTTGGTTATTCTTGGACCTAGGAATGAACCAAAGAGAGTAAACAAACTGAATATTAAGCCCAAAAAACAAAAGCCTAGAGCCAATGAATCCAATGGAGGCCTCACATCAGAAGACTGAGATATCCTTGGCCATGTAGTAAAAAATGTACCGATCTTGGTCAATACCATTATGCCACTCCTCCCGCTTATCTCTTATTCCGGGTCACCACCATGCTACAAAGCCTTAGTTACTATCCTAGCTTAAATATGAGGAAGACCAGTGTACTTGTGTCTTTGCTGCACCTCTCTATTAATTCTTTCTGTTTTTTCCACTAAAGAAAGAATTTCAAACATGGTTTGGATAAGCATCCACACCTGTATAATTATGATGTCCTTTAAGTTTTTAAAAGAAATTATCATTCTCTGTTATATTATATTTGCATTGCAAAGAAAATAAATCTTGACCTAAATGTTATAACTTTGGTTCTGTTACAGAATCGACGAAGAGCAGACACCAGAGGATGCTGAAGACGGTCCACCGGAGTTGCTTTTTATTCATGGGGGTCACACCAGTAAAATATCTGATTTTTCGTGGAACCCATGTGAAGATTGGGTTGTTGCTAGTGTTGCTGAAGATAACATACTCCAAATCTGGCAGATGGCCGAGAACATTTACCATGACGAAGATGATTTACCTGAAGAGCCGGCAAAGCCTTAGTATAATTTCCAATACTTAGCAAAATGTAGTCAGCTAAAGCTAATTAGAGAAGGGGGAATGTAGGGCTTTATTTATGTGTGTTCTTCTGTAACTTTCTTCTTTTCTCCCCTCTTCACCATTGCATGTGAGATTTTGTGTTTTATTTTGCTGAGTTAGATCAGTGATGTATTGACCCATGCTTAGTAATTATATGCAGTACTTTTGCATGGAAAGTAACTTTCCAAGGTAACTCTCGACTATTTTTTTGTCATAAGCTGAAAGCTCATAAAACACCACGTTTGCATATTGATAGGTGTTTTTTCCAGGAAGCAGAAGTACTTCTCTAGTATAAGAAAACACTTATTTCAATTGAAGCTTTAAAAAATGTATTATTTTTATTTGAAAGCATTTGTCAGCATTTTTTTTTATACATATGATATTGGGGAAGGGAGAAATCAAACCTAGGCCCTCAGATGCAGTGTGGTAAAGAGCTAAGTTCCTAAACACAGGACATGTCTGAGGCTATTGTTTGAACTAGCTTTGTTCAGTATTGTTTTGATAAGAAGCAGTGCACGTCAGAGGTTTTAAACTCAAATGCACTTGGGTGCCTTTATGAAGAAGCAAAAGGGCTTGTAGGTTAAGTAGTTGAGAGCATTTATCGCTAGACTAAGAGCTAGTTGGTACCTTCATCTCTGATTATGGGGTTCTAAGGCATTTGTGAAAGGCTGCAATAGAATATACCCAAATATTGTTGCTCTTGAATCAAATCAAAACAATACTTATATCCATCACCGCCAAAACTATAGCATGTTCTATTATATGTATGTTACATGTATGGGTTCCTAATCTTTGCATGCAGGGGAGAGAGAAAGACAGGAATTGACAGAGAGCTGAACTGGAGAGATTTACAAGTTCTCCTCTCATTTTTCATACGTCCAAAAACTTAAGATAGCTGTCTATGTGTAGCTGCCACGTCAGACTATGCCTCTGAATCCATACATCCTCAGAAGTTCAGTCTCTTTGATCTAAGTTTGATGTTGTAATTAAGCTGCCTACAACTCCAAGGGGCAATATTTCTGCCGGCTTGTGCCTTTTCAATGAGGCCAACCAAAAGAGAACAGAGAAATGACATAGTAAATTTCAACACTAAATCATCAACATAACCTGCTCATAAAGGAAAGCATATAAATACCATTACCTTAACAGCACGTTAGAGATATCAAACAGAAACAAACTGAACCATTTATATCTACAATGGCTGCTGCTGCGAGGAGATTGGTTCAATCACTTATCATATTAGTACTTGCGCTGGCAATGGCAACCTCCAAAAGGGCACTAGCAAGTGATCCTGATATCATTTCTGACTTCATAGTCCCCCTGAATTTCAACGGCACGATTGATGGATCCTTTTTCACATTCACTGGCTTTCGTGGCATTTTCGATCAAGCTCCCAAAACATTGAAGGGGTCAAAAGCAAGCCTGGTTGAGTTCCCTGCCCTGAATGGTCAGAGTGTGTCATATGCAGTGCTTCAATTTCCTCCAAACACACTCTTCCCACCCCACACCCGCCCGGATGCAACTGGACTTTTGTTCCTTGTTGATGGTTCCTTGGAAGTAGGGCTAATCGACACGAAAAACAACCTATACACTCAAAAGCTTCAAACTGGAGATCTGTTCATTTTTCCTAAGGGATTAGTCCATTATCAGTATAACTCGGATCCTCAATTGCCAGCCACAGCCATTGCAGCATTCGGAAGTGCAAGTGCTAGAGCAGTTACCGTGCCGCCGGCTGTTTTCACCACTGGCATTGACGACGCCATCCTTGCCAAATCATTTAACACTGATGTTGGCACCATTGAGAAGATCAGGGCTGGCCTCACTCACTAGCTCCTAATGACAAAGGCTTCAATAGTTTTCTTACTGTGATTAATTTTTGTTTCGTTTATTTATTTATTTATTTATTTTTTGTATCATCCTGTTGTTGTTTATTTGGCTTGGTATTCTTTTAATAAAACACTTTTGTTCAATACAAGATCGCAGAATAGCCTTGGATTTGGAAGCCTGATATTACGTCAAGCAATTAAAGCTTAAAATTGCACTAAACGCTCTATATATTTATTCCCAATTCAGCAGAACCTGCATTTTGTACTAACCAGAGAGAACCGATTAACTAATCAATTACGATAAATTGGATTGGATTTTGCAGTTTTTTCTTGTGATAAAAGTAGGACCCTTAATTGCAAGTGTTAAAAAAAGGGCCTTTATCTTGTGATGACTAAATTCTGTTAGTTATCCTAATTCACAAGAGCCTACCCTAGATCCAACCAAAAAAAAAGATAAAAAAAAGAGCCTACCCTAGACTATCTTATATTATTTGATGGAATTATGTTCGTTAGATAACTCGTTTGGTGGCCTAGTTTGGATTGGATTGAAGTCATGTTCAAGCTAGTCTTTATGAGTTTCACCCTTCAGGTGAGACTTGTAAGACACAATACGTTGGATTGTTGTCTAATTAATAAGTCCAGTTTCAGCACATTAAACAATGCCATGACTTCCATTTTATTTAAAATAGTCCAGTCCAGTCCAGTCCTTGGAAAATTCACAATTAATGTGCATTGGATTAGATGCAAATTGGCTAAATATGAACACATTTTGAATGGATGAACACCCTTGTGAAACCCTATATTTTTAAATATATATATATATATATATTTATATATTATATTTTGGGAAATTAAATATTTTGTTACATATTTAGTTCATAACATAGATAGTTAAATCTATATTGTTTTATGTACTGTTTTAATAAATATTTATATCTTATTTTATTAAATATATTATTCTACTATATATACCTTGTTCTATTATATACATGTATATGTTTTAAAATAGCTCTTGTTAATACGTGTCAAAGTAGAAACCTATTAAGTAGTAAGGCTGGCCAACTCACCAAGAAGATAAGAATAGGATTAGAGGAATTGGAAGAGACAAAGACATTCTTCCTTATCTGTTATACATATTACTTGGTTAGGAAGTATAAATCAACCGCCATCAACCCATCCAATAGGAAGTGTTTTATTGCCGACTTTATTCTAGTATAAATAGGAAGCTTACAAGTTATTTACTACTACTTCCAAAGATAACAAACCTGCAATGAGAGAGAGAGGTGATGAAACTCTTGGAGCTTGGGTTGAGTGGTAATATATGAAGGTAGGTAGATGGGTTGTCTTGCCAATTTATTTAAAGGGTTCTCATTAGCGCGGTGAGTGGTTTATGTAATGTGTTCTAAAAGTTCTTATTTTGCGATAAAATATAAAAACCATGAATTATCGTGGATTTATTATATTTACAAATATCTCTCTATTTCAAGTCAAGCATGTCTAATTTGATGCAATCTTTCACACACACACACACACTATATATATATATATATTGATTGGAATATGAAGTATGTATTATTCATGGAACATGAGAACTTCAATGTTGGAGTATCCGAGGGATAGATGTACCACACGGGGACATAAGGCAATGAGGCCAATAGGGATCACGTGGTTGGTTACATGCTATGAAGGATAAGATATGAAGGGATGATGTGATATGGTATGGATTGGTGTATCTTTTCAAGATATTTTCTAGAGTGTGTAAAACGGCATTGCTTAACTGGCATATTACATAATCTACTCACTGAGCGGTGGTTGCTCATCCCTCATCATGTTTAATTTTTCAGATGAATTAGTGGGCAAGACAAGGACTAAACCAGTTGAGGCTAAATTAGATGAGAGTGATAGAGCTTTATTTTTTTTTATAGTAAAGTTGTAAGATTTTTTGGGAGTTATTTTTATAAGAAAAGTTTATTTTATGCTTCGGCTTCTTTTTATTTATTTTATTTTAAAATTTAATTTTCTCACGCACCGAGCGCGGGGTTTCCGCCTACCCCCGGGTCCGGGGCGTGACAACCCTTACTTGTACTTCAAATTTGAAGAAAAATCACTAACTTGCTCTTTTTTTTAAAAGTCTCCAGTTAATTAATGGGGATCCATCTGTCTTTGTACATATAGTTTAGTGCATTCAAATTTGCTAACATTTTTAAATTTCTTTTTCACATGAAATTCCACCATCATATCTGATTAGTGGAGTTTGTTATTTCTTGATGTTGAATCAGTCAGTCTCACTGTTCTTGAATTAATTCCACCATCATATCATATTCCAGCAAGTTGATGAAAAGTCCTAAACTCTTTTTTTTTTTTTTTTTTTTGTCGTAATAAAGATAATTCATTGATACCCCAGAAACTTGAGGAGCAGAGTACACTGGAAGGACCAACATACAAAAGCAGGCTCCGGAAGAATTCTAGCTAAAACAGTCAAACAGTTTAACCCAAAAAAAAAAAGAAAAGGATTTTCCCATCGAAACTAGGTAGTTAGGTAACGATACACCAGAACATGAAACAAGGAGGAGTAAACTCAACCCTTAAAAGTCATTACAAATTTTAAAACTCCACGGCAATAATTAGTGAATCATCCATGTAATTCGCTAACCCATCTTGTTGTTCATGACCAGATATTGGTTGATATCTTCGTACTGATCTTCTTTGACTTGAGAAGTATGCACTTGAAGAAGTTGATGAGATGAAAGACTGGGCGGCATCATCTGATGCATGTAGGGCACTGCAGGCTGCATGAGACGAGCATAGTAGTGGCTCATGGATGAGGAGCTTAGAGGACCAATATTATTATTCGTCATCATCATATTCATATTCATTTGATCACTGTAATTACAGTGATACCCCTCCAATGGTGATTGAGAATAATGAGCACTGCTGGAATCCCCTGCCCTGTACTGAAGAGTACTATAGTTATAGTTGCCCTCCATCAACATCCACATTGCCATCGAACTCGGATTAGGAGCCATAAGATTATTCAAATATTGATCCGAATTATCAAATGGAAGTGTTTGATCAGAAGGCTGATGATGATCAAATGACGAGACTGCAAATGGCTGGAGCATATCCACCGTATTATTGTTCAAAGAGCTCGTAGGGTTTTGGTCCTCCTCATGATAATGTTCCTGCATGTAAGAATTACAAGGCTCCTTTTGGCTTGATGATTCACCCATGTTAGGGTTTCCACCCATCCGTACTTTTTTCGTTACAGGTACTCGATGAGCAGCTCCGTTCCTCTTATTAAGTAATGTTCTCTTGCCAGTCTCAAGCTTAGCATCTAACTTGTCCAGAAGTGCCTCGAGTTGATTCTCGGAGAAACTTTCGATACGTTCGTCCCATGTTGGGTACTTGGTCTCATACATCTCCTTACGGGCTCTGTAAATATCAGCATAGACCTTGTTCTTTCGGTCCATCAACAGGTCCGACAAATCGAAGGTTTTCTTGGCCGGTTTGCTCATGGTGCTGGCTTTGTACTTGTTGATTATACGATCGACTTGTTCCGAATTTTGGGGCCAAGTTTGGAGTTCTGGAGGCCGATCAGTCAGCTTTGGGCCGTAAATAATAATGCACACATCCACTTCGCAAAGAGTTGAAAACTCATAAGCCTTCTTCATCATTCCCTTGCTTCTCTTTTGAAACGTTGTTTTTCGAGATCTCTCGTTCGCAATGAGTTCCATCTTCAGCCTTCCGCGACCCATATTCGTCTGCTCTTTGTTTAAAGATAATTTGGGATCAGTACAAAGAGTTATATGTATATGCGCATAATAGGCTTTTCTCAGTTTTGGTGGTTTTGTAAATGATGATGCACAGCAGAAGCAGAATAGGCAATATGAACTCAAATAAACGGATATGAATAAAGTACAGACAAGTAGGGAACACCCATTTAAAGAGTTATTTAATTTTAAATGTGCAAGCAAAGCAAAAGAGGCATAGCAATGAAATTATAAAAACGGTTAAGTAAAGGAGAAGAGAATAGTAAGATTGGTACCTTAAGTTTTAATGGCTTCGAAGAGCTTTTGCCTTTTGGAGGAAAGAAGATGGCTTCTTAATCTTCCTTTCTTTGAGATATTGTTTCCTTGACCTATATAGGAACTCACAAGTATTGGCCTGCCGTTTACTTCAGAATCTAATTGATGTTAAAAGATCAATCACAATTCATGATCTTTTTGGTTAAGGTAAATTGGCCTGCCCGCTTACTTCAGAATCTCATTTATGGTGAAAGATCAATCATAATTCCTTATCTTTTTGGTTAAGGTAAACAAAAATAATTTTTACTTGCCATAAATTGAAGAACCGAATCAATTAGTCATTACTACATTTCAATTTCTCGTTTAGGGTTCTTAAGACATAGGCGCTTACAAGAAGTCCGAGCTTGTATCAAAAAGTCGGAACTTGTATTAGCTTTTTCACATCAATAATATTCTATCACTTATTTAAAAAAAAAAAAAAAAAGGTGCTTATATTACCTAAACCCACCTATTTTTCAACCATTCTAAAAAAACTCAAATTTGAATGGATTTAATAATTGTCCTAGTATTAGAAAATATTTACAGTCTATGCCATCTTCAATTCATACTTGTCAAGTTGTCAACACACGTTAATAGCATTTCCATTAAAAATCCCTACTTTTTTTTAGCATTTATATTTAATCCCTATTATTTGGGCACCTACTCATTAATTATAATTACACCTAAACCCTAAAATTTTCAACTATTAGATTGTATAGCTAATTATGTATACCTAGATTTTGCAAGTTCAACAATTTCCTTTAGAGGCATGTGTTACGTCAGAAAATGTAGGTAATTTATCAAAGGGATCAAGAACTATAGAGAGCAAACACGTCCCTTTGAATAAATTAATTTTAAACCATAACAATTAATAAATTTGAAAATATTGATATAAATAAAATGAACTATCTAACCAATATTAATTTGAAAGTTAAATTGGAAAAAATTCAACCACTACACCAATATTTATTTATTTTTCTAAAGGAAAAAGCAGGAAACCTACGCTTTAGAAAAATAAATAAAACTTAATGATATATGTTTTCATTGCTAAATTCTCTTCATATATGCCCATCTGATAAGATTATCTTACAACAATCATTGTAACAATCTCTCGATAAAATGTTAAGGTCTCAAAGTCAAAGCACGAACAATCATTCAATTTTCAGAAGACATTGCCTCTCAACGCAGCCATCACAATCTCACAGTTAGTTAGCTTAAACCTTTTTCTGTTAGGCTTAATAGTTCTTGTAAGTTGTAACAACTCATGTACTGCTTAATTAACACTGTTGTATATATGGATCATCCAAAGAGAAATAGAAAGAGAAATTTCTAAGTCTTTTGTTCTTTGTTTCTTCTCTCTCTCTCTCTCTCTCTCTTTTCACTTGATTATGACTAGAAACTAACTAGTTGGTTTTCCCAATGAAAACTTAAATTATAGGGATTAAAAAAAGAGATATTTAGTCATATACCAATTCTTAACACTAATAATATAGATAAACCCTATACCATTTAATTTCTATAAACAAAACAAAACAAAAAAAAACCCCAAAATGACAACTTGCCCTTTTGAATTTAATTTTGATTATTAAATTACTTTGATGCCCTATTGAGTGTTTTGAGTTTTTTTTATGAGGTTTTGGAGTTGAGTTTGTTTTAAGAAATCAATGACAGTTTTGTAATTTAAAACAAGTTAAAATCCTTTTTGTTATGTTGTAAATGGGCTTTGGATGTGTTTCTAAAGTTCATTTCATATAGGTTTTAAAAAAAATAATAACTTGGGCTCTTATATTGGGTATAATAGTAAATCTCCCTTAAAAAAATGTAACTTCACCAACATTTTTTATAAGAAAGAACATTCCAGTCTTTGACAACAAGGCGAAAATGGGAGGGAAAAGCCGTTGTAAGTTCAATTCAAATTTGATAGTCCCGTTCTCTTAGACCACAGGGGTTCAAGAGATTTATGGTCACCCACCCTTGGATCTAATCTAAGGGGTCAGAAAAAACTAGTTTAAAATTTTGTTTTCTTTTTCTTTTTCTTTTAATTTAATTTAAACAAAAAAAACGTTAAAAAAAAAGTTAGTCACAATAAAACACGTTCTAAGCCCAAAATCTCTAAACATGTTCTTCTCTTGGAACCCTAAACTTTTCTGGAAAATTAAATTTCGGTGTTGTTGGAAGTTTGATTGGTGGATTATGGGAACAAGGAAAGAATTGGGTTGGATGATTGAACATCTATATATATAAAACAAAAGGCAGAGAATGGTGAAGCATTCAAAACACCAGAAAATGCCATTGGTTAATGCAAATATTAAAAATTGACATTATTAATTAAATGAGGATAATATGGTAAATTCACACCTTTTCATATTAAAAAAATTAAAATTAAAAGAAAAATCAGATAATTGATCCTATTTTTTATATTCTAAATTTATTTATTTAAAAAAAAAGCCTCTAGCAGGCGTGGAAGCGCGTGTGGAGAGGCTAGTTATTATTATTATTATTTCCCTTCAAGCTTTAATTTTCTCGGGCTGACGATAATTTGCCTCATCACCCTTCAAACTTGCAATCCCATCAAAATGTGGTGAAGAATCATGTTTTCTGAAAAAAGGGGGGATTCAAACTCGAGGTGAGAGTGATTCATCAATGTCTCACCATTAACTCTTTAATTCTAATTTTCATTTTGATTTTTTGTTGCCTACTTATGTCCATGACATATTAATTCTCTCGTCCATTCAGATTTTGTTTTTTGAGAACCTCGACAGTCAAGGAAATTTTTATTGATAAAACAGAATGGGGGGATAAACAACCTGACTCTGACTCAAAGAAACACATAATAGAGTGTCCTCAATAAAATCAGGGACCACCTCAAACCAAATAAAACACTCCACTTTACGCATACCAAATCTAGCAAATCCGTTCAAATTATAATACGTGAATTAATAACCCCACATGTCGGTATAATGATCACAGGTGACTTTTGCAATGTTGGTGAAAGTGGCGTTGTTGATTTTGAGCTAGACTACCATACCAGAATACGAGACAAAGGATGATGCCCATGACTGTGTCCGAGGAGGCTTCCTACGAAGGATAATATGGACAAGCAGAGCAAGAAGGAGAGCAAGGTCACCAACTCCAGATTTGAGTTCATCCACCACACTCGGCCCTTTGTTAACTTTCTTCTATGTTTGCACTTGATTCAAGCTCTTTATCCTCAGTTTAGGATATACATTTATTACTTTGACTGTTTTATCTAATGTTCTTATGTTAGATGAAATGAAGTTCTCCACTCGAAAGTTTGTGGTAACCTACATGGTCCTTTCTTTATTTCTTCGTTGGTTACTGTGTGTCTTTATTTCATGGGACTTGGTCTAAATGTTGTTTCGTACAAAGAAACAACAAAAAATATCCTTATATTCGTTCGTAATATGTAAATTCTACAGCGTATACATAAGAAATAGAAACAAAAATGAACGTAAATAAGAGACAAGTGAAGTAAACAATTCAGCATTTGCTCAACAGAAAACTTTATTCACAAATCAATTGCAAAATCTCGAACCTTGTTCCTCCTCTCGTCTTCATACGTCCAAGAACTTCTGTTTATCTGTTTATCTATGGCCGCCAACAATATATGCCTTCCAAACCATATACGTGATGTTTCTAGTTAGCTGTATACAGTTCCTATAAGCTTATATGCTTTGCCGGCTTGTGGCTTCTGAATAAGAACAAGAAGAAGAAAACAGAGAAATGAAATAGAAAAATTCATTTCACCGACTAATTGTAGAAGATATAGAAACATATCTGCTCATAGAAATGCACATAAATACCATGCTAGCTAGTTAGTTAGATGAACCAAAAACCATATACAAAACTAGCAGCACTATAAGCCATTTCAATTATCTACAATGGCTGCTATGAGATTCATTCCATTAGTGATGATATTTACATTTGCTCTGGCAACTTCCAAAAGGGCAGTAGCCAGTGATCCTGATATCATTTCTGACTTTATAGTCCCACCGAATTTCAACGGCACGATTGATGGATCGTTTTTCACTTTCACTGGATTTCGTGGAATTTTCGATCAAGCTCCCGAAACTTTTAAGGGATCGAAAGCAAGCCTGGCTGAGTTCCCTGCCCTTACTGGCCAGAGTGTGTCATACGCAGTGCTTCAGTTTCCTCCAAACACACTATTCCCACCTCACACCCGCCCAGACGCAACTGGACTTTTGTTCCTTGTTGATGGTACCTTGGAAGTAGGCCTAATCGACACGAAAAACAATCTATACACTCAAAAGCTTCAAACTGGAGATCTGTTTATTTTTCCCAAGGAATTAGTTCATTATCAGTATAATTCAGACCCTCAAAGGCCAGCCACAGCCATTGCAGCATTCGGAAGTGCAAGTGCTAGAGCAGTTACAGTGCCGCCAGCTATTTTCACCACTGGCATTGATGATGCCATCCTTGCCAAATCATTCAAGACTGATGTTGGTACCATAGAGAAGATCAAGGCTGGCCTCACCAACTAGCTCCACATTGACAAAAGAAATATTTAATAACTTGCTTCTTGTGCACTGCAAAATTTGATTTGGTTATTTGTCTTTTGGAGATCATTTTTTCTACTTGTTTTGTTTGGTTGATGTATGCAGCTTTTCCCTTTCATTCTATTATTTAATAAAGTACTTCTACTACTCATTCAAAAACATTTGGATCTTTTGTCCAGTCTTTTGACTCTGACATTATAAAACAATAACCAGAATTGTATAATAATTGAACCACAAGAGTCCTTTTCTACTTTTATCTGGTATACCGTATACGTACAAAGACATAAGATTTTGAGTCCTCTGATCACCATGCAAGCTGAGAAAAATGCTGCAAAATAAATATACTACCGGATTAATTAGGATGCCCAAAACACAATGTTAAGTTGTTAATGTTAGCGGACATGCTAAAGTTCAAAACCAATGCATGAATTTCTATTTTCTTTTACAGAGCATCCGAACCCAAAACTAATTTGCAAACCCAAAACATTTTTTTGTGCGTCTAGAATAGCTAAGCTAGCATATGCTCTATGCATAGAGCCTTAAGTCTGCTGAAATCTTTCCGAATGCATGGCCACCAGCTGTATACTAGAATATACCCTGATATTGTTGCTGCAAAATAACCATCCTAAGCCTTTTTATGATATGTTCAACCCAGCATGGCGGTTGTGGCATATTCTACTGTACACAGTACATATATGCTGTCTACATACACAGATATAAGAGCTTTGCATGCAGAAGAGAGATAAGGGAGAGTCTTACAAGAACTCCTCTCATTTCATAAGTCGAAAAACTTCAGATAATTATAAACTCTAACCGGATTTTCTACCTGGCTATCTGTAGCTAGCTGCCATGTCAGAGTCAGCTCCAATAAGCATATATCTATTGCCTGCTTGTGGCTACCAGGCCAAATAAGAAGAAAACAAGGAAATGGCAACACACAGACAACAATAGAAACTGATCAGCTCCTACATATTAACCCTACCAAGTTATACAATCCCAGCTTGTTGGTCTTCAATCATAACCATTTTTAAAAGTTATCTAAAATGGCTGCTATGAGATTTGTTCAATTAGTAATAATATTAGTACATTGCCTTAGCCACATCCAAAATGGCCCTAGCAAGTGATCCTAACCTAACATCATTTCTGACTTTATAGTCCCACCGAATTCCAACGGAACAGTTTATGGAACCTTCTTCACATTCTCTGGATTCCCTGGAATTTTCAATCAAGCTCCTGAAACGTTCAAGGCATCGAAAGCAAGCCTGGTTGAGTTCCCTGCCCTTAGTGGACAGAGTGAGTCATATATATGCTTTCGATGTTGATCTCTTGCCCTCATCACTTACGGTGTTTATGATTTCCCCATGTAATCCCCTCTGGAAGTACTTTCATTGGGACAGCAAACATTTTGGATACAAAAGCAACACAAGGAGCTTCTGGCCTCGAATCACAAGCTTCAACTGATTTTCTCACAAGCTCTGCCTCAGCAAGAGCGTTGGGATCAACCCCATCACTCAGAACCTGTCTCTTGGGAAGCAATCTGTTATTCGATATGCCTGTGCTGCAACTGGGTCAGGCATAACCTAACCACCATTGACAAGACTGCATCAAACAGAGGAAGCCAGTGGCTCATCACAGCTTGAAGCACAACCTTAGGATCCTTGTTCTGAAGCTCACGGTGGTACATTCAAATTAAACGACTTGATTACTTTCTCAAGCATCACTTTATTATCATCACCATCTTCCAAAGCAGCCTGATAAACCTGCCAAAGTGGTTCAAGCACAAACTGAACAAACATGGGTCTGGCTTTACTTAAACCAGGTACACCTTTCTTCCCCACAATCATCTTGGTTTTGGGATTGTAGTACCTGGGTCCCCACAGAGCTTTTTGCAAAGCAGCTGTGCTCGCACCTAGTTTCGAAGCATAAAACTCAGCAAACTCACGAATACAAAAACCCCAACCATCCAAAGCACACACAAACGCTACATTGCCCTTCTGGGGCTGAAACGTATCTTCCTCATCATCCTCCACATCCAAAAAGGCGAGATTTTGGTCACTACCCACATCTCCAGAAGGCCCAGAAAGTATAGCATCAACGTCAGACAAGTACTTCTCGCTCTTATACGCACTCACAATCCCATTAACCTCATGAACAATACGCACTAACCTCGTATAAGCCTCCATGGGACTCAATTTCAACTCGGAGATCAACCGGTCAATCTTGTTGAGCACCAAGCAAGGCGTGAGCTTCTCAATCCAAGCCTGGCGCAAAACGGCGTGCGTTTGGATGTGGACGCCCTCAACGGCGTCGACCAGGACCAGAGCGCCATCGCTTAATCGAGCGGCAGTGGAGACCTCGCTGCAAAAGTCCATGTGGCCTGGAGAGTCGATGAGGTTGATGGAGTGGTCTTTGTATTTAAGAGAGATGGAGGAGCTTTTCATGGTGATGGCGCGCCTCTGTTCCTCGTCGAGATAGTCCATGAACCGGAGGCCGCCGGCGAGTTTGGGATGGACGACGCCGGCGCCGGCTCTAGCGTTTAGGTGGTCGGCGAGGGTGGTCTTGCCGTGGTCCACGTGGGCCGGTATGCATTTGTTTCGGATATTTCAGGTATTATCGGCTATTGATTATACACATGGTAGAAAGATAAGACCCGAGATACCGGAGGTTGGGGACTGAGAAGAATGGAATTGGCGAGATATCGGTGGTTTGGTGCAGACGACGGACGAAGACTTAATGGAGGTATTCAATTGGGACTTTTAAATAGTCTTTGAAAGTTTAGTTGTATTCAATTGGGAGTTTTAAAGAGTATTTAAAAGTTTTGAGGTATCCAAAATGTTAATAACTTTTAAAAACTTTGTTAAATAAATGACTTTTCAATACTTTTAAAGCTAATTCTTACTACCAAAAGTCTTGATAATTTACACAAGACTTTATTTTAAAGCTAATTCTTACTACCAAAAGTCTTGATAATTTACACAAGACTTTATATTGTATTGGGAAGCTGAGAAGATAGAAACAAAACGTCTCCTAAACCCTAGCAGCACGCAGACATCTATTTTCTTCAAAGAGCTTTACTTTGGTTTCCCATCTTGTCATCTTCCTCCAGGTTAGTCGTTACTTTTTTACTTTCCCTCTGTTAATGAATATTTTTATTATTCTTTCCCTCTGTTAGTCGCATCCATGTGCTTATATGTTTGTATACAATATATTATTGTTTGTCAGTGTAGAGCCAAACCAGTGTAGAGTTCTTGTTAGTATTTGTTATTAAGGTGTTCTGTAATATGTTTAGAAAAATGATAATCCCTTTTATATTTATTGAAGAAGGATCCTTCTCCTTTTTGTTGCTGTTAATTAAGGGCTAAAAAGAATATCATTTGTACATGTGACATTGCATCTTAAGACCTACATATTGAATTATTTGTACATGTTCAGAACAAATATTTGATGATCCGTGGGTAAGAACATGATATTGAATAATCATCGAATTAATATTTGTTCTTAATTTCTAATATATTTGAAATAATATTTGTTCTTAATATATCAATATATCATGAATTAATATTGGAAGTGCATCAATATATCAAATAATCATCAAATATATCAATATATCCAATATTTGTTCTTAATTAATCAGGTCGCAGTTCCAATGGTGGTGCAGATGCAATATTGAATAAATATTGGAAGTGCATCAATATATCAAATAATCATCAAATATTTGTTCTTAATTTCTACATTGCATCTTGACTTTGTACATGATATTCAATATTGAATTATCTTAAGGATCCTTCTTATCATTTGGTTATCATTTGTACATGTGATATTGTTTGGAGACTTATTTTGTACATGTGACATTGCATCTTTCATACACGTTATATGCTTCTGAACTGTACGTGCTCTCAGGGATGATGATAAGTGGTGGCTTTTACCAACCATTCTTCTGCTATTCAAGTTAATGCAGGCGCTGTTTGTGGACTGGCACATAGCAAATTTAGAAATCCAAGATCATTCTCTATTTTTCCCAGATCCGGATGCGTTTAGGTATTGTTTCTTTACCCATAATTCGTTAGGTATATAATTTTTTCATATAATATTCTCAATTTGATCACGTATTGGGCTAGGAGAATTGCTGGAATATAGACTCTTGTAATCTGACCATTTTTGTTGATTTGTGAGTGTTTATGAAATATTATTGATGATTGAGTATTATTTATTTCTTTTGATAAGAATATGTTACTTATCTATGTGATCAGATTTGATAAATAAAAATTTAAAAGGTGCATTGGATGCATTTTACCAATACGCTATTATGAAAATATACACAATTAATAAGGATTTGTACGTGTGATATAGTAATTATCAATGGAAGAATCACAACGGGGAAATGACAAAGGAAAGAGCAAAGTTAATGGGGGTTATAAATTGTGGACGTTGGAAGAGAGCAATGAGTTGCTACAACTCATGGTTGATGCCGCCAATCGTGGATGGCGTGATAGTAATGGAATGCTAAGCAAGCAAACGGTTGAGAAAAAAATTCTTCCTGCCCTTAATGCAAAACTTGGATGTGAAAGGAATCATTCACAATACTTAAGCCGATTGAAATGGTTTAAGCAATGATATAATATTTTTTCTGAGCTTATGCGTCATAGCTCTGGGTTCGGGTGGGATCCAATCACAAAGAAGTTCCCCGTTAGTGATGAAGTGTGGAAAGATTATATTAAGGTGAGCTTCTATTTTCGAAAATATATTATATGATAATTTATTATTTTGTATGTGTATGCATTAATTGTATGTATTTTTTTTCCCTTTGTTAGTACCACCCGGCCCATGTCAACTTTCAGACAAACACTTTTGCTGACTATGAACTTTTGAGGATTGCATACAAATTTATTATTATCATTCATTATATCACGCTTTGCATACAAATTTATTATATATTTTATGATTAGGTAAATATTTTTTAGTGGATTGTGGATTTCCAAATCGACGTCAATTTTTAGCTCCATTTCGAGGTGTACATTATCATCTCCAAGATTTTGCTGGTCAAGGTCGTGACCCTGAAAACGCAACTAAGTTGTTCAATCTTCGCCATGCTTCCTTGAGGAATGTAATTGAGAGGATATTTGGGATATTTAAATCAAGATTCATAATTTTCAAGTCAACACCTCCATTCCCATATAGGACTCAAGCAGAGCTTGTGTTAGCTTGTGCAGGACTACATAATTTTCTTCGAAGGGAATGTCGTTCTGATGAATTTCCTATTGAACCAGAGAACGAGTCTTCATCATCTTCACCATTACCAGGGAATGAAGGAGATAATGTGGAACAAGTCTTTGAAACTCAAGAACAACAACGAGAGAATGCTAATGAATGGAGAGTTGGTATAGCTTCTGACATGTGGAGAAATGCCATGCAAGATAATAACGCAACTCAACGATAATGAGCATTGGAATTTCTAAAGGAATTTTTATTATGGTTTATTCAACGTCATTGAAATGAATGGAACCTTTATCATTTTTATCATTTTCTAATGTTAAGGACAACTATTCTTTGCTTTTACTTAATTGTATGCCGACTAGTTAATTCAACATAGATAAATGCTATTCGTAAAATAAATATAAAAATAAAGTATTTAAAAGTCTATAAAACTCTATGACAAAAGTATATGAAAGTTTGTCACTTTACTTTATAAAGTATGTAAAAGTCATTAAGAATCTGTCAATTCTTGAAAAGTCACTCACTTAAAAAAAGTCTTTAAAAGTTAGAATTGGATACACCCCCCTTAGTCGCGCAGCGGGGAGGTTTTCAGGTTTTTAAGAATTAGGGCTTTTGGAACTCGTGTTGCTATATGAATATGACTCTTTTTTTTGCCCTTTTCGGAATATGTGTTTTCCTATTTATTTTTTTCTCCACTCGAATGTTTTTTTTGCCAAATTTTTTCTCCAATGGTTAATTCCACCAACTTTCTTAGGGTTCAACTCCATGCGGACAGAGGTTCAAAACCGCAAGTATGCAATTAATGTTTGTGTAAACCCCCTCCTCTAATTGCTTGGAATAAAACTTATTCTAATACAATTTTGTTATAAAACAAGAGATAAAAAGTGAAAGAGCAACTTTACCAAAAAATTAAAAAAGGTGAAAGAGCAAGAGAGATTGGGAAAATTGATAAGTCACATGTACTTCTGCTTATAAACATTTTTATTAGAAGATGTTGAAACTTTTATAAAGTTAGTGTTTAAGGTGATTCTTCAAAAATACTAAAGATGGCAAAGGAACATTTTAACATTTTCTGCTAAATGTATTGTCATAAACGGTTTTGGTTATCTAAAACTCTTTTTTTAGCCATTTTAAAAACATTTCCAAACAAACATTGATTTGATTATCTAAACTAAAGGCAAGTTATTATGACAAAAAATATGATTTCATTCCTACCCTTTCCAAAACCCTAAAGAAGTGTATGAACACAAAATTAATTATTCTCTTAATATGCATAAACATCACAGATTAAAGGGAAGTGAACCAAATGATTGAAGAAAACAAAAATAATTATTTCATAAACCCTTCAAACTGCTATGAATTCATGAATACAATGATAAATAAATGATGGCATAGCCCGGCGAAGGACATCATCTTATCTCATATGTGATCCTGGTCTGCACAAACATTATCACCAGCTCATCCAGTGGGTGTGGCAAAATGTCACCCCCTACAGAGCTAGCTATCACTTTAACATGTATTCCTTGAACACAGGCGTATACCTGAAATAAGTAACAGCAGAAGCAGACTCATATCAGGAACTTGAATGGGGCTGGCAGATCAAAATAAAATAGAAGAAAATCAGTAAGAGTATCATTTGGTCAAAATCATGTTAAGCTCTCTAAAAGCTATCAGGCAGTATATACGTCGGCAGTAACAAGAAAGAAATGTTTTAAACTCTTTCATCTCAATTTTCAGACCTACATATTGCCTGGAGGGGCAAAGAGTATGTGATTGAGAGTAGCGCAAACCACTCAGTTCTGCATCTTGTTGCCCCAATCTGCACTCTCATTAATTACAGTTTTTGGATTGAGGATGGATGTGCTCTCCTTCTTTTCACTCTAGGATGCGCTATAACACACCACCTATTCACAATAATCGCTAACAAAAGAAAAACTGGCAAATATTTAATGTGTTTTACCACCCTTCTTACCAATAGTGTAGCTTCAAGTCTTCTAATCACGATAGGGTGTGAGATCAATGTTGAAGCGTTGCTTCCCCTTGCTTACCCTCTAAAAATTAACAAAATAGAACATCCAGGTCAGTATCTAGCAACAAAATGAAAAATCATATTGTTAGGAATGCAGAAACCAAAATGAAAAATCGTTCAGGTTTTTAATCTTCTTTTTTTTTCTTTTTTTTTTTCCTTCCATCCTTTTGAGGTGTGGTCAAGGAAGGTTTTGGGAGGGGAGACTCTACCAAATACAAATAGCATACATGTCTCAATAAAATACTCCTGAATTGTTTCAAAAGTTGCTGAAAGAATCTGGTAATGATACGACACTAGCTAAAACTGCATTTCCAATCATGGATAATGTAACAACCCACATGCCAGTGACTCTCAGATATACTTCCAAGTAACCGAGATAATATAGCATTCCATGTACATAGCATTTCAATAATTTTTTCACCACTTGACTAAAAAATGATCAGAACTCTAACTGCTCATATTATGAATGAAGCAAAGGACTTACAGCAATTGCTACAAGCTCTACCAGCAGTTCCTCCAAATGGCGCAAGGGCTACAATCATATATAAGAAGTAATTTAAACATCTTCACTTGATAAAATACTTTTAGTTAAAAAAATTCTATATATTCAAATATGCCACAACAGGAATGAACTTCCAGAGAAAATGCTCATAGAATAAGAAAGCATGACTCACCCATTGAGTTGGACCATCAACCGGCGCGTTAGAAGGATCATCATGTACCTAAGTCCACAAAGGAAAATCTTAAAAACTCAAAAGTCTACAGCAAAATGTGCAGATATGAATCTCTTCATAAAGAAGAATACAATTAAAAACTAAGAAAGATAAATTCATATTGCACACTTTCGAATTTGTATGGAAATAGTTGCAGATAAACGACATTATTTATTCACAAAGCTCCTTCAAAGTGAACTCAAATGAATCTGTGCCCTACTGGTAATTGGAATTACTTAACTTCAACTAATTTGTTCTCTAGTAACCCTAGAATTACGAATCATAATCCTAAGAGTAGATGAAGCATAATGCCTGCATCAACCGATTACTTTACCTCCATGAAAATTCCATCCACTCCAACAGCAACTGCTGTCCTTGCAATGCACGGAATCAATTCACGAAGACCACCACTGGCTACACCTCCATCATCCAACTATAGGAGAAAGTAGAGTTACCATTTGATATGAGAAAAAACATTCGTATCAAACTAAAGTAATCATATTACATCTTAATCGAAGAAATATTGTGACACTACAGATAGAAACTTACAGAAAAGCAGGATTATTGCAAATATCTCCACACACAAAAATTACAACATCAACAACCAGAAGCAATTGCCAAAAGTATTTATAATTTCATCCACATATGCAATAAGATAAGACCGGTACCTAATGTTTGTTGTTACTCTATAAGAAATGAAACAATCCAACATTTTTTCCCCAACTACCAAATTATGTGATTTTTCACAGGTCATTTCTATGTCAAGGAGAAATGTAAAGGATTATTTAGTCTAGGTTACAGTCTTCATGGGAAATAACACGGACATAACCATACTTTTTGAAGCAAGGAAATTGCAGAGTGCTAACTTACGAAAAAATATATGTGAGAATTTTCTCACCTTTCTCCCAGCAGGCTGTTGCAATCCATGTGTTACATCAGCAACCTGTAGCGAAACACTTAAGTTGAATCACCTGGTCTGGTCCTCAGATTTTAAAATGAAATGGAGGCAGCGTGTTCAGACTTATCACTATTGAAAAATTGGGACAGGAAAGAATGCAAAAGTGAGAGAATTATCCAACAAGAACCAATGACTGAAAGCATTTGTAAGGATCAGGTAAAGGTCACCCAATTGAATTGGATACATGTCAAGTTTTCAACCCACTCCTATAGATTGTCAGACAACTGAGACCTACTTGCAACATACAAACACATATTTCAACCTCTTTGTAATTGATTTCAGTATTTATGAGGAAACAGGACAATATGAAAGTCAAATTTTCATTGTCTTTTTATGAGATGACGATAAAAAATTTCATTAGAAAGCCAAATGTTTCCTATACATTCAATGCCCAACATTTCCTACAATCGCTTCTTATAGGTGCTTCTCCATCCCCAGAAGCATTTACTGTCTATTTCAACCAAACATTATAAAAATCATTTTGGAAACAAACTGAGACTGGGGAAAAGGAGGGGGAATAGTCGTGTACTTCCAGTATTCCTGACAACAGAATTGTTTCTATTTCTTAGGAAAATAAAGCACAAAATAACAGCACATAAAAATAGGAGCAGAGTATAAATTTAACTTACAACAGGACAATTAGCTTCTCTGATCCACTCCAAATTGCGCGGATCAACAATTAAATCATCTATATACCAAAGCAGAAATATAGGATAAATCAACTGAACAAGAACAAATTATGAGAATGCATCAATAACTTTGATCGTAGAATGGTTAGAAGGCAACATTAAATCTCAAGAAATATGAATGGAGAGTCAATGCACGGAAGTTTAAAGACAAAAAGGGGGGAACATGACGCCAACGAAATATAGTTTCACTAGAATTAAGCAATGGCCACACAGAAAGTGGGGCAAGCACTAGAATATTGATGAAAGCTGAAACAGAAAGCTTAATTGAAGAGAGTATAGATACTGTAAGACTTACTATAGCCAAACATAGTTCCCCTTTCACAGACCATCACGTTTGGATTTCCAGCCAGTCTAACCTTCTCAGCAGAATTTACCATGACCTGAAAAAATGAACATTTTGAAGATTAATATCAGAATCAGAAGCATACCTAAATCATTTAAAAGAGATCATTTAGTGGAGGTCTAATCAGTTAGTTCAGATTGAACTACTCATCATTAAACCCAGAGAGAGAGAGAGAGAGAGAGAGTAAATCACTCACTGAAGGTGCACAGAATTGGCCTTTCTTAATGTTGATAATTTTTCCAGTCTTGGCTGCTGCAACTAGAAGATCTGTCTGCTTTCATAAGAAGTCACAAATAAGATACATTGGCACTCTCACATCCTCTGAAACGAAAAATTTCATGACAATTTCTTCTGATAGAGGATTCCGTTTAACTTAACCTGGCGGCACAAAAATGCAGGAATCTGAATAATGTCTGCAACTTTACCAACTTCTTCACACTAGGAAAAACAAAACAGCAAAGAAAAATGTGAGGAACAGTTAATGACCTGTTACAAACCAGTTGACCGATCTTTGATTCAATCTTGGAATGGTTGTTTAAGAGACCCGTGGTAATCGTCTTTTTTTCCTTTATCTGAGGAACTTTCCTTGATGTATAACTCAGGATGGTAAAGAAATAGACAAGGATGCATGGTGTTGCCTGATTGTGCATGCAAGTATTCAAGATAGAATGCATAGAGAACCATTGATCAAGTCCAAAATAAAGAAATATAACAGAGTAAATTATAACCTATTCTAGAGTCTCTCTTTTCCTTATCCACACACATTGTTACAAATTACATGGACATATTGTGATAGAGATAACGTATCTGAGGTATCCAAATGGTACACATTTATTCAGCAAAGCAAAGAGTGTCTTGTCAAACAAAGCTCGTTCTTCCTACCCTTTAGGCTTTATCTTTAACCCATCAAATTTCCAGGCTTAAGAAAACAATATCTAGTATATTAAAAACAAGAGTTAAAAATTATGTATATTAAGAGAGGAGACAGAATGCTCACCTGGCTAGCTTCGTGCACATCTGTAATTATAGGGATGTCATATGCTACTTTAACCTTTTCAAGGATCTGAAATAATTCGGGAAAAATAATGAGGAATTAGTGATTCCAAGTTAAATATCTTCTCTATTGACAATTAATGTCAAGTTAATGCTAGGAAAGATAAATTTTACTCTAGAAAGTTCTAACTATGATTTTTTTGTATGCCCTAGTAATTGCAGCTAAGCCATTAGAAGGCTAAATGTATCAGCACATGACATAGGAAAACTTCAAAGTTCAAGAACACATGACTAACCACAATGGGAAAAACTGACTACCAACACTGAAATTGTAGTCTATTTGAAAATTAATAAATATCTAGTACACTCCCTATATTTATCACCACAGAAACCAAAGTGGTCTGTATCTCAACTTCGAATGAAAACAAAATGATGTAGCTGTGCATCACCTTTAAGCCTTCAGTGAGGCCAGGACCACGGAATGATTTTGAGGATGTACGGTTGGCTTTGTCAAAGCTTGACTTGAAAACCAGTGGCAATCCAACTCTACAAGATTGGAAAACAATTGTCTATATCACCAAAAATCAAAAGTTCAAATCCAATCTTCTATCCCCATTTTGGCACATAGAAGAGCCCGATAAAAATGAATCTTTTTCCTTCTCTTATTTTGCATAAAAGAAACTACAAAAATAAACAAATGTTCAAAGAGTAAATGCATAAATCCCAAAGAGAAGGAGCAGACTTTGTTGCAACATGCTTTATGTGCTTGGCCATCCGGAAAATGTGCTCTTCGGATTCAATCACATTGGGACCCGCTAATAAGAAAAATGGTTCTGCTGCCTGTGGAGATAGATCAATCAAAGATTAAAGTACCCATTGGAACCATAAAGCATCCAAATGCATATACCCTTTAACACAGGAACTTAAAATACCCCAACAAAGTAAAACCTTGAGCTGGTTATATAACACTGTTGATGCATCCATCTTTGCCACTTCGCTGAAATACAAATGAGACTACATATAAGCATTCAAACATAACATGTACTAAAAATATTGTTGATTCAATCAAAGCAGCAGCCAAGATCTCAAGGAATTTAAAAAAAGTTTTTCTTGCGGTTGATAATTCAGATGCTGATAGTCTGTGTAAGATTCGGAGGTAATCTATTTTCCCGCAATTTTTTTCCAGGCATCCAAACGGATCATAAAACAATATGTGAATTCAAATTCAAACTTGAATGTAGTTGAATTTCACAGATCTTCAAATATATTACAGAACATAAAAAAGAGGCGGATCAAGCAGAGAGCTTTACCTCACTTTAATCACAAAAATAGGGAGAGCTTCAGTGAGTAATGGTATAGAAGCAGAGACGAGTTACCCAGATAGTGTTATGAAATAATTCTGTCACTGACTCTCTGTCACTGTCACTGAAGCTGTACTGTATGAGTGTGTGCGTGCGCGCTCGATTGTGTGCAATGTGAAGGTCCAAAAAACGTTGGAGGCCCAACTTAGAAAATTCTCAGCCTTTTTAACTTGTAATTTGGGCTAGTAACCCCATTACAAAGAGCTTCTGAAAAGTGGGCTCACTCATTGTTTGCTGATAAGAGCTTCTCATTAGCAAACACCTTTCAAGGATTGATCAGTCCACATTGGTCGTAGATTTTTTGTTGGCTTAATTACTGTTTTACCCTTTGGAACGGTTGCTTGATCTCACTTTACTCTTTAAAACTGAAATTTTCTCACTCAACCCCCAGAATCTCTAAAAATTACTGAAATTTTCTTATTTTACCACTTTCGTCCACAAAGCCGTTAAGTGTGCTAATGTGGCATGTGCATTGTAGTAATTTTAGCTCCTCTATTTTCTATCTTTGCATCTCTCTCTCTCTAACTCCCACTCTATCTTCTCTCCCCTCCCTGACCAAACCCTTCCTAGAATTACTCAACACACCCAACTTACCAGCTATTCCAGCCAATTCCACTTGGAGGAGGCTCAAGTAGGTGATTTGTGTGTAGCAATCATGGGTGACCATAAAGGGAAGAGGGAAGTGGGGCAGCGAGACGGGGGTAGTGGGCTGGTGTGGCGAGGCTGGGCTGGATACTTTGGGCATAGGGGTGACTGGAAAGGGAAGAGTGGGTTGATGGAGGTGACAGATGGTGAGCTAATGTGGAAGGGAAGAAAGGCAAAAAGGGGTTTGTTAACCCTAATATTTTTAAAATATATATATATATATATTTAAAATATGTTTGTTATATTTAATTTGGATTTATTTAATGGCTAAAATTACTAAAATATCCATGCCACATCAGCACACTTAACAGTTTTGTGGATGGAAATGAACGGAAGTGATAAAGTGAGAAAATTTTAGCAATTTTTAGAGATTATGGGGGTTAAGTGATCAAATTTCAATTTCAGGGGTTAAAATGAGACCGAACGTCCATTCTAGGAGTAAAATAGTAATTAAGCTTTTTTGTTTATAGGCTTATTATATGTTTCACCCCCTGAAACTGAAAATTTCACACTTAACCCATTGAATCTCTAAAAATTGCTGAAAATTTCTCACTTTACCACTTCCGTCCATTTCCGTCAAGACACTTAACGGTTTTGTGAATGGAAATGGATGAAAATGGTAAAGTGAGAAAATTTCAGTAATTTTTAGAGATTCAAGGGGTTAAGTGAGAAAATTTTAGTTTAACAGGGTGAAGTGAGACCAAGAGTCCATTTTAGGGGATGAAACAGTAAATAAGCCTTGTTATATAAGCGATATTGGGAGAGAGGGGGAATCGAACCTAGAACCTAGGTACCCATAAATGTTCTTATCAACTTGAGCTACAAGTCCCTTGTACTTGAGTTGTTTGTAAATTTCGTTTGGTTTAAATCTCAAGGTGCACCTAAACCAATGTTACATAACAGTTCATGTTGGTTCTGTTTAGGTAACAAAACCAAGATATTCCATATAGTGGCTTTTTTTTTTTTTTTTAAAGATAGAGAAATTTGGGGAGAAAGATAACACCAAATTTAAATGATTGATGCACGTTACGAAACATAATAGTAGATGATAATAACCAACAAGAAAATCCCAAGTTAAGAAGAAATTATATAAGTCGTTTAGTTTAACTTAGCTTCAGATAAGTTGAATCGCCTAAACTTATTGCGATTTGGTTCAGTTCAATAAAAATTATAGTTATTTATAATAAGGTAAATCAAAAATTCGGATTGATTTGGTGATGCGGGAGCATCTATTAGACTTTCCTAATCTAAGTGGGCATCAGCCAATAAGGCTAAGTTTTAGTTATATTAAATTAATAGGTTATTTTATTACTTGTTTTCCTATTCTTACTAGGATTTGGTTTAATTTCCTGTTTAGGTTTTTGAATGTCAATTAGGTTTTCTATATTCTAGTATAAATAGGCTATTAAGAGACTCTTCTATTTAGTTTTGTTGATGAATATAATTTCAGACGTTAGTCTATAGAGTTTCTGTTGGGATTTTGCCCTAAAAGCTAGAACTCAATTATCTTCGTTCCAGCTTCGATTCTACTGCTTTATCCTTCTATTCTTTGTATTTTGGGTATGTTTGGGTTGCTGGACAGCAGCTTATAGCCGCTACCCTGCATCATTTGGTTTGGTCCGATTTAACATTGTGGACAATTTTTTCGCCCACCAAAGTCAACTGCTAAACTTTTCACAAAATCTCCAAAAAGAAAAATATTTTTTTCTTGTTGAGAGACCAACAAGATAATATTATTTTGTGGCGTTCATAAGGCTTAGAAATTCTAATGGGAAGGTTTTACGCTGAAAGATCTGTACTTAGTTTCCCTTACGAAGGTTTTACTATTTATTTAGATTGTCATCCTCAAATGACCAACTTCATTTGAATTCTTAACCCAACAAAATGCACACACACCAGACCTATCTTTTAAAGCCTTATGAATTTACAAATAACACTCGGACATCTAAAAGATTTTGACCTTCTTCAAATATCTTGCAAACGCAATCATTACAAACAAGATTTACTGTATATTGCCAAATTTCCATGATCTTGGTAAATCATTTTTTCCAGGCAATCCAACTGCATAACTCACATTCATAAATTCACTATGAAGCAATAACAGGAGTACGTGATGGTTTTTCCAGAACAAAACATGACATATTCAATGAATAAAAATCAAAATAATCAGAAAATCAAAAAACAAATATAAAAAATAAATCTGCAAAGGAGAAGACATAAATCTGCAAACAACAATCGGTAGCTCCTCCAGCATTGATTTTTCGCAAGGAGCGGGTAAACAGATGCACACACAATCAAAACCTAAATACCCAAACAGATGCAAAACCCTAGTCACAGAATCGAAGATGAGCTGAGAGAGAGAGATGAACAGTACCTGAGAGAGAGACAGAGACAGAGCTATACGAGATGAAGAGGTGGACGCTGCGAGCGAATGGGATCTCCGATTTGCTGGAGGACAGAGAGTCAGAAAATCGAATTGGGGAAAAAAAAGAAAGAAAAAGAGATAGAGAGAGAGAATCTGACCTGCGTGATGGCGGCGACTGAGAGAGGCTGAGAGAAGAGTGGCGGTAGAGAGAGGCGTGACGTGATGGCTGAGAGAGAGGTTTGGAATCCACGGCCGGCTGAGTATGAAACGGAATGGGAGGAAGAAACGTTACGGGAGGAGCGGGTTTTTTTTTTTGGTGTAATCCTGTGTGTGCGCTACCTATGGTAGCAGCATACACACCCAATCAAATTTCACCACGTATGAAAATATATATAATATCAAATATCAAATATCAAATATCAAATATATATATATATAACATAAATTAATATAAATTAATTCTATTGGACCGGTTCCTTAGGGTGGAAAATCGAAATTGAACCGATCTGAATTGATTCGGTTTCAGATTTGTCTCGGTTTTTTACTTTTTCGGTCAACACGGTTTTCTTTGGTTTTTTTCAAATTGGTTTGGTTCGGTTTTGTGGTTCCAATGCCCACCCGTACTTAGAATATATAAAATGTTTTTTTTTAGTTTTTTTATAAAATGGTCTACCGAGATGGGCGTGTCAATCCATTCAGCTAGCTTAGCTTCCATCATGGAGGCCCCAGCCTTCCTGACATAGGTGGCTGGCTGACTTTCTTTTTCTTTATATATATTTTTTAAATAATTGTTTTTTATTATTTATTCTGTTTAGTTTTAAAGAAACCAAACAATAGAAAGAAAAATCAAAATCAAAAGAAATTTTGTTAAGAGCAGGATGTACTGATGTTTTGTAACTGAGTGTAGGCTACTAAGCTCACATATGAAGATTCACTTCAGCAGTTGCTCTTTTCTCTGCTTTCCTAGTCTCAGCATTGAAAAGTGAAAACCCATTCCGCAGAAACCATATTATATGACAATGAGATTAGCAAAATACGTATAAAATGTGTATATGTGTAATAAGGTAAGTTTATGTGATTTTAAGAAAAATGATATGATGAAAAACAGTGTGTATAATTTGATTGTTTTGTTCATATCAACTCTCCGTTGATATAAAAGAGAAGGATTAAGCTTGTGTTTATGATGAAGAGTTACAGCTTATGCAATCTGATTATGAGCATGTTTAACATGTTATGTTTTCCTATTTAGATCGGTGCACTAGATACCAAGTCATATCAGGTTTTGATAAGTGTTTAAATTAAGTTATACCTTGAGGCCCAAGACCTAGTGAAATAAGGAAGGATTTTGGGGCCTATTAAGGGTCCTAATTATTTCCATTTATGCGTCAACCGATTTGGTGGGCTTGGAAGATTAGTCAAGTCGGCCCTCAGTGACGAGTAGAGATGATTTGACCTAGCCCTATATAAGCTTAAGGCCCTGATCTCATCAGACACGTTCTCTAAACCTATTCTCATCATAAAGAGAGAGCTGAAACAGATTCTGAGAGAGAGCAGAAGTCTTGAGTCGTTCCTGTTCTTGATAGTATTTCTGCTGCTACGGATTAGATGAGTTCAGAGGTCGTGTACTCTAGGAAGATGGCTCGAGGTATGTGTTCATGTCTTTACGTATTTCAGATTATGTGAAAGATCTAGAACATGTATTATATAGAAATCTAACAGTTGGTATCAGAGCTTAAAGTTATTCACACATATACTGAAATTGTTGTTCAAGCATGTCTACTATGATTTCATATCTGTTTATGCCACGTTCAGTTATTTGGTTATGTTTAATTTTTGAAGATGGTTTAAACATGTTTATGAAAATATCAAGAATATTAAAGAACCTAGAAAAGCATTTTTTGATTTGGTTTTTCATATTTTCAAAACTTTAAACACATTTTTGACCTACCAGATGACCTTAGAACCCTAAAAATGCATAGTTAGGTCATTCCTTATTCAGAAAGGTATTTTGTGTCAAAAACGGACACCAAAAACCCCTAAAATATTGTTCACACAATTTTACTATTCACTACATTTTGGGGTTTTTCCTTCTTGAATTGTGTTTTGTTTAGTTCTTTTTCTGAGCTAGATAGATGTTTGTCTTTGTTCTGAGAATCAACAAACTTTTCATAACAAAACCAAACCTAAATACTCAAACCCTAATGAAATAACCAAAAATTGCATCATACCTAAATTGCTTGATAAGTTTCTTCAACAAACAGAATCTGTCATGTAATTTGTTTGTGATGGCACAAGATAACATGTAATTTTGTGTAAGCTATGAGTAATCTCTTGCCACGAAGGTGCGATACTTAATTAAGGAGGCTTGCATATATATTATTTGTTAGTTTTGTGAATAAAGTTAAACATTAAAACTGTTTTCTCTTAACAAATTGAGAATCGATTTCTTGGAAAGTATTCATGCTTTTCTTTTGCAAATCCTTACAACTTTGAATACTCCCTCAATCAATTTCAATTTCTCGCAAATTGAAAGATTCACTGGATCAAACTTTAAAATATGGATGTTTGATTTTAAAGTTGTTGTCGGAATGAATGAGATCGTTTATGATCTCACTCATGACTATATTTAATTCAAGTTAGCCCTTTCGCTTATGTGCCTTGTAGTACAACTCCTAGAGCTTAGGGAAAAGGAAAAGCATTTAGCATTCAATAGGTGTCACTCGTGTCAACTTGTCACGAATGGCATTCTAGTAAAGAATATAGTGAAGCTAATTAAGAAGAGGAACGAAGATGAGCTGGAGCGAAAAAGGGTTAAGGCGTAGCGAAGTCATCAACCACATGGATGACCCATAAGGATATACACGGCTACAAAGGACAGTCTCAGAAGTCTCAAGATCGCTATGAAGCTCGGTGTATGCGCTTACAGGAGAGGACGATACATCAATAAGCTACTTCGATACAAGAATCTCTTAGTGCAATATGTGAAACATACGCCCCAACCTGAATCACTTGTTGAGATTTTTGATGCCACCACTAATAGGGAGATAGTGGTACTTGACCCATTCCCTTCTAAGGAGAACAACACTTTTATGGCGGCGGCGGCACGTTGTGACAAGGAGGTTTAGACAGCTACATGTTGTTTTTTCATTAAATATTATTGGAGTAGTTTATTTAAGTTGGATTTAGGATTTATTTTAGAGTTGGATGATGTAGTTTTCAGTACCCTAAATAAAGAGAAATTTGATTTATGTTTCAAGATTATTAAGACTTGGTTTTATTTTGGATTCAATAAAGATGTTTTTGTATCTCAGAATTAAAAGACAATAAAGATGGATTATATTGTCTCAATTATAATAAAGATGGTGAAGTTTTTTAATAGCTAAATCGAGTGAGAAAAGATTAGAAGTGAAGGAACATCCACTAGGTTATGGCATAGGTGTTTAGGGCACATTTCAAAAGAAAGAATGAAAATTCTTGTTAAGGAACAAATCTTGCCATCACTAACTTTCGGTGATGATGAAATTTGTATTGAGTGTGTCAAAGGAAAACTCACTAAGACTAAGAAGAAAGGTGCAACACACAGTAGTGATCTTTTAGAGATCATCCACACAGATATTTGTGGACCATTACCTCATCAAACAATTGATGGAAATCGCTATTTCATCACCTTTATAGATGACCATTCTCGTTTTTTGGTTATCTATATTTCATAGCAGAACAGTCTCAAGCTTTTAAAATGTTCAAAATTTTTCAAACTAAAGTAGAAAGACAACTTGAGAAAATGATCAAATTTGTGAGGTCAGACAGAGGGGGTGAATATTATGGACCTTTTGATGAAGGAGGACAACGTGCTGGACCTTCTTACTAGGTATCTACAAGAAAATGGAATATCTACTCAGTACACAACACCAAGAATTTCGTAACAGAATAGTGTGGCTGAGACAAGAAATCGAACTTTGAAGGACATGGTTCTTAGCAAGATTTCCAAAACTGATTTGCCTATGCTTTTTGAGAGAGGCGATCAAAACAACAAACTATAGAGTGCCTAGTAACTCCGTACCTAAGACACCTTTCAAAATTTAGACTACCAGAAAGCCTAGCCTAAGACATCTTCATGTATGGGGTTGCAAGGCTGAAGCTAGAATCTATAACCGTCAAGATAAGAAGCTTGATCATAAAACAATAAGCTGTCATTTTATAAGTTATCCCGCAAGGTTAAAGGGTTTTAGATTTTATTGTCCAAATTATGGTGCCCGAATTGTTGAGACTGGTTGTGCAAAGTTTATAAAGCATGAGGAGAATGCCATTGGGAATGGAAATTTTGTTTTTGGAGAAGAAGGTGATGTAGTTGTGATTGACAATGCTGAACAAGATGTTACACCATTGATTCCTTTGAGTGAAACTGTATTGGAAAATCCTCAATTTGAAGAACCAGTTGAACCACAAGAACAAGCTGTAGAGAATCCTGAGCTAGATAATCCATAAGAACCAGTACAACCGAGGAGATCTGACAGACCAAGAAGATCCACAGCAAATTCAGATTATGTGTACTTACAATAAGCAGATTTTGACATTGGAGATAAGGCTAATCCAACAAGTTTTAAAGAGGCTATAGAGAGTCAGAATGCAGACAAATGGAGGGAAGCGATGTTGAATGAACTCAAAAGCATGAAGAATAATCAAGTATGGGAATTAGTTGAACCTCACAAGAGCCAGAAATTAGTAGGCTCGAAATGGGTATTTAAAACAAAGAAGGATAAGGATGGAAGAATCGAAAGATTTAAGGCTAGATTGGTAGCCAAAGGGTTCACCCAAAGGGAGGGAATTGACTACACTGAGACGTTTTCTCCAGTTTCCACCAAAGATTCTTTCCGCATCATTATGGCTTTGGTGGCACATTATGACCTACTTTTGCATCAGATGAATGTCAAAACTGCCTTCTTGAATGGTGAACTCGAAGAAGAAAATTATATGAGGCAACCTGAAGGGTTTGCAAAAGAGGGAAAAGAGCATATGGTTTGCAAACTCGGCAAGGCAATATATGGGCTGAAGCAAGCAAGCAGAAGGTGGTATTTTTAAATTTCACCAAACTGTTTCATCTTATGGTTTTGAAGAGAACATAGCTAACCAGTGTATTTATCTGAAGAAGTGTGGGAGCCGATTTATTTTTCTGGTGCTGTATGTCGACGACATACGTTTGGCTACAAATGACCACAATTTACTGAAGGACACCAAGGAGCTACTTTCAAATAATTTTGAGATGAAGGATTTGGGAGAAGCTGCTTTTGTGTTGGGCATTGAAA